GGTGGAGAGCTCTCCTCCTCCGATCCTCCTCTTCTCCAAGAGCTGCGCGCGCATTCAGCCGGTCACATAGGAAAGCATTCATAATGCTTTCCTATGGACACTGGCGTGCTCTCACTGTGAAAATCTCATTGACAGCCACTAGAGGAAATAGGGGAAGGCTTAACCCATTCATAAACATAGCAGTTTCTCTGAGACTGCTATGTTTATGAAAAAATGGGTTAACCCTAGCTGGACCTGGCACCCAGACCACTTCATTAAGCTGAAGTGGTCTGGGTGCCTAGAATGGTCCTTTAAGGTGTTCCTGCATAAGGATCTGCCTAGGCACACACAGCACACCCCATGTGCATGCCTATGGTTGCTTTCATATGAAAGTTTTTTACAGGTAATGATATGCTTTGTGATCCAAAGCTTGCTAGTGGGTAGAAAGGTGTGATATTTAGCAAGTTGTTTGAAAGACTCTTGAATCTTACATTTAATGAAAATAGGTAATTTAAGAAATTGAAAGAGTCACCAGATTTGGTCATAAAGCAGGCTGTAAAGGGTCGTGTGCAGTTTTTATGAATATATCTGATTACCTGGGGTAAGCACACAGATTGTTGGATAATTGTAGATTATGCTAGCTTTAGTGTACCTATAATCTTAATTTTATTAATGACAGGAGGCAAGTATTTGCTTAAGACTTTTTTTTACTTAAGCTTCACAGCAGCACTTTTTTACTTAGTAACAAGGTAACCAATCAGAAAAAAGGAATAACAAGGTATATAAGTCCCTCCCAGTGATGTCATTTCCTCTTTCTGGCTGCGAACAAATAGGAACCGGAACTGTAGCAACCAGACGAGGGATTCAGGATGCCAGATGAGAAGGATGATACTTGAGAGGGAAACAGGAACGTAACTTGAGTTCTTGAAGAGCAGAGATGAAGCTTGCGGTGTAACAGCAACTAGACTTGAACTCTTAAGGGAGTTTTACGCTGAAACGAGAGAGCAGAGTCGAAACCAAGGATTAATCCGTGAATTGGACTTTGAAAATATGATAACCAGTTGATATGAATCATATATTATAGCCTGCTAGAAAAACATTAATCTATACATCCTAGAATGTAATTCCTAACCCTTGTGGTAGTAGGACATTGTGTGTTCCTTCTTGTTTTAGAAACTTACCTACAGAGGCGACCCTAGGGTGGGAAAAACAAAGGTAAAAGTGGTGGGAAATACTTGCCTCCTGTCATTAATACAATTAAGATTATAGGTACACTAAAGCTAGCATAATCTACAATTTTATAACATAACAGGAGGCTTCGTATTTGCTGTTTTAACGCTCCCAGAGAAGAGCCAAGGAAGGGTGCACAGCCGGACGAAAATAGAAGTTGCAGAACGTCTGTTCTCGGGACCAGTCTGCGGAGTGAAGAATGTCTCGAAGCGAGGCTCCAGCGCTGAATGCCCCCGATGCCGCCGCTCCTCTGATGGAGTGGGCTCCGAAGGAGGTTTCAATCCCGGCTAGGGAGAGCAACCACCTAACCCATCGGGCAAGGGTTGTGGTTGACACTGGATTATGCGGTCGGACGTATGAGACCAATAGTTGGCTGGAGGAAGTTGGACGGAGAGAGGAGGTGAGTAATAAATAACGAGAAAGAAGAGATACCACACACAATTTCGGGTGGTTAGGGAAGTAAGGGTAAAATATAGAAGAGGAGTTAGATTTTGTCCGTCTGGACACGGAAAAGGTGACACCCTCTGGGGAAAAGTTGATAGCGTCATGGTCAAATGCTCGAACATCCGATACTCGTCGGAAGGACACTAAGCAAAGTAACAGGGTGAATTTTGCTGAGAGTTGGCGGAGGGATAGATCCTCGTTGTTTGGCCAAGTCTCGAGGAAATGAATCATGACATTAATGTCCCACAGATGGGAGTATTTCGGTTTAGGGGGGCGAGCCAGTTTGATGCCCCGCAATAGTCTACAAACCAGCTGGTCCTGGCCCAATGGAACCCCGTCTAGAGGGACATGGGCTGCAGAGATGGCTGAACGGGAAACGTTGATGGATCTGTAGGAAAGGCCTAGATCGAATATTCCGTTCCAGGCACCAATTGCACCAAGCGTTCCAGGAGGAAAGATAGCATCTTCTAGTTCCAGGGACCCACGAATCCCAGAGGAGTTCCTTAGATCTCTGCGATAGTCCTCCGAAGTGCCAGGTTCCCCTGAAAGAGTCCAAGCTACTAGGTGGAGGTGGCATTGCGTTATCATTGGATGAGGGTTCCCTTGAGGGTCCTCCAGGAGGTTGGGCCATGGAGGCAGAAGGAGAGGATCTTGGCAGGAGAGGTCCAGAAGATCCGGAAACCATGCTTGGCCCCGCCAGAGCGGGGTGAGTAGTACAAGTGTGATCTGTTGTCTGCGAATCTGAAGGAGGATTCTGGGAATCATTGAAAACGGAGGAAAAGCATAGGCTCCCGTCGTCGGCCAACTCTGAAGGAAGGCGTCCACGGCCGAGCATTCTGGGTCTGGAAGCCAGCTGAAAAACCGTGGAACTTGAAAATTTGTCCGGGAGGCGAATAGGTCTAGGATAAACGGGCCCCTGAGTTTGGAGATGTGGAGAAAGATTGTTCTGTGTAGGCGCCAGTCGCTGCCGTCTCTCCAATGTCGGGAGAACCAATCCACGGTAATGTTCGTCTCCCCTGGGAGATATTCTGCCCGAAGTGTGATGTTGCATTGGAAGCAAAATTCGTAGATGTCTTTTGTCACTTCGGAAAGGGTGCGAGATCTGGCTCCACCCAATTTGTTGATGTATTGGACAGCTGAGATATTGTCCATCCGAAGGAGAATACAGCAGTTTGAGAGATGTCTGGTCAAACTGCGAATTGCGAACGAGCCTGCGATTAACTCCAGACAATTGTATGACAGGTTGCGCCCCAGCCCTGGAGGCTCGCATCTGATTCCACCACAAAGTCCGGGGTGGGACTGAAAATTGCCTTGCCGTTCCAGGCCGACATGTGGCGGAGCCACCAAAAGAGTTCCTCCTTCACCTCCGTAGTGATCGGGACCCTCTGGTCGTATGATGGATGGGTCCGGAGGAATTGAGCTTTCAAGTGTTGCATGGCCCGGTAGTGAAGGGGGCCTGGGTAGATTGCCTGAATGGAAGCAGAAAGTAGGCCGACGATCCAAGCTAATCCTCGAAGGGGTAAATCCTCTTGACGAAGCGTTTTGCGTTGCTCCTTTCTGATCGCAGTTAACTTGGACTGAGGAAGGCGAAGAACACAGGTTGAAGACTCGATCTCGAAGCCGAGAAATTGAATGACTCTGGATGGGGACAGTGATGATTTCTCTTGGTTTATGACAAACCCCAAGGATTCGATCAATACAGATGTATAGTTCGTCTGTGAACGCAGTCTGGATACGTCTTCGCAGAGAAGCAAGAGGTCGTTGAGGTAGATTAAACAACGGATGCCCCTTTCTTGAAGATGTGCGGTGACTGGTTTGAGCAGTTTGGTGAAACACCACGGGGCGGAACTCAGGCCGAATGGAAGACAGGTGAATTGGAAAATCCGGTGGTGCCAAAGAAAGCAGAGGAAACGCCGACTAGATGGGTGTACTGGTACCAAAAGGTAAGCGTCCTTGAGGTCGAGACGGGTGAACCAATCGCCTGGTCGGAGAATGTCTCTGAGGAGATGAATCCCTTCCATTTTGAAATGTCTGTAAATAACGAAAGAGTTCAGTTGACAAAGGTTGATTACTGGGCGAAATTCCCCTGATTTCTTCTTGACTAAGAAGATGGAGCTGAGGAAACCTTTGTCGAGTGGAGCGAGTTGAATTGCTCCTTTTGTTAAAAGAGAACGTAGTTCTGAATCTAGACGAAGACTCTGAGACCTTGACTTTTTGGATAGTGAGGATAACCTGTTTGAGAAGGGAGAGAATGAAACTCTATGGAATAACCCTGAACTATGTTTAGGACCCAGGTATCTGAAGACAGTGTCTTCCACATGTCTACACAGTGTGACAACCTGCCCACATGATGAACAGTAGAAAGGTGAAAGGTAGGAAATCTCACCTGTTGGGTATCTGCTGCGTCCACGGGTTCTGTAACCTCTTCCCCCATCCGCCCTTTGGGAGTAAGAGCCTCTTGGTTGATAGTTGGGGAAGAAAGATGAAGTTGGGGTTCTCTGGCGTTGGTTTGTGGTCCATAAACGGCTGACTGTGCAACCCCTTGTATGGCCAGCCCTGCCAAAAACCTGTGAGGGTTGATAATGAAATACCCTTTTCATGGATGACTGCGCCTTGTTTAGTGTGGCGTATAAGTTTACATGTTTATGTAACTCTTTAATATAGGGTTCTCCAAACAATAGACCCTGTGCTTTGGGGCCCAATTCTTTGGTTCCCAAGTCAGCTAACTTGGCATCCATACGCAGCAGCACTGCTTTTCTACGCTCAGTACAGAGGGATGTATTAGCATTGCCCAGCAGGCAAATAGAGCGTAGAGCCCATTCTCTGATCACAGATGGGTCTAGAGGGCCTTCATTAGATAAGGCTTCATCAGCCAGTAGAAGAATTTTTGCCAGAGGTCCTAGGATATCCTGCATTTTGTCTTGGGTTAGGCGTAGGCTGCGTTCAATGCCCTTTTTTGGGTCAAGGCCCGATCTGGCCAGATATGTATAGAGCAGCGTATCAAACTCCGGGGACACCGCAACCTTATCCAGTAGAGTGGGTCTAGGACATTCAGCTCGTAGTCGTTTGCGGACCTCCCGATCTAGGGGTCTTCTGATCCAAAAAAGAATATACTGGAAAAGATGGTCTGGTAGTGACCATTCAGATGATCGAGGATATCTAATTTGTCTCGGGTCAAAAAGAGGTTGACCAAGCGTATCCAGAAAGGATTCAGCGTCCTCAGATGGAAGTGATCCGGGTATCGTAACTTCGGTTGGGAGGTCTCCCTTAATAGATTGAGGGAGAGGTGCTCCTTTAAAGGATGTCTCGGGCCAGTCCTCCTCATCTTCTGAGGAGTGGTTAGCTTGCTATTCATCTAGGATGGCTAATGGATGTAAGCCGAAAGAGTCTTCCTCTTCTTTCGACAGAGTAGGCTGGTTGGAGTGTTTCTCTCTAGCATCCACCTGTTTGGGGCGTTTCGCCGGTTCTTTCCCCTTACGTTTGAGGGGTTCAGGCCCATTCCCTTTCCAATAACGTTTATGTGGTTTGGAAGGGTTTCTTTTTGTGGAATCGGAATCCTCCGCATCTTCGCCAGAAAGCAGGGTTTCAGAAATTTTAGGGTCTTTTGGCTCAATGGGCAGCACCCGAGCCAGGGCCTTTTCTAGCGAAGCAGCAACAGCTGCATTTATAATTGCTTGCAAGTTTTGATCTTGATTTGAAGCCTCCATAGCAACAGTGTTGGTACCTATGGGGCAGAATAGGCCAGTGTTAGAGTGTAATTTAAGGCCGTCTCAAATATCACAGTATGTTATCATTTCACATTGCAAGCTGTAATTGGGGGTCACCCAGTATAAATCACCTCAGGGAATACTTTTTCAAACCCGTATAGAGGTATAGTGGCACAGACAAAGCGGGCCAATCATGGGCTGTATATGATAACAGCAATCATAATTTAGTTTTATGTGTTTAACCTTATACACATGCACAGAGTAGATATGAGTTGTAATTATAAAGTATATTTAGTGATTAACGATAAATTATATATGCAGTATGAATAATCCTCCACTAGAGGGAAGTAGAGTGAGACAGAGATGAGACTGCCTTTGGAGTTAAACTCCTTCCTTTGTAGAAAGGAGTAAGCAGAAATATAACACTCCGTTATAATTAAAATAAATGAACATGGATTAATGTAATGAATTATGAAGGAATATAAAGATATGTTTAGACTACGTTATTTAACCGGTATAATAAGGGGTAAAATGGCCGCAGCACGGCCGGAGTAAATGGAGATCGCGGCTCCAAGAAAATGGCCGCCGCGATCTCGCGCATGCGCACGAGGGAAATGAGGAAGCCGTTTGGGTCCCGCGGAAGAGCGCGAGATCCAAGATGGCCGCCGTCCGCACTGGGGACCGTTGGAGGCGTACTCCACGGTCCAAAAAGCCCGGGAAAAACGGGGCAAAATGCCGCTCGAAGAAACCGGGCTAAAGAAGGTAGAAAATAATAAAACTGACAGTAATCAAATATAAAAGCAGAAAAAGGAGAAAGCAATAAAATACCAAAATGTAGATAGAGATGTGGAAAAAAATAAATTTATCAGAAATAGTATAAAGAGAAAATAAATATATATTTATGGGAGTGTTCAAATGTAATGTTTTTATTGGATTGTGCATTTCATGTCCTGTGCCCCACAAGGTCCACGTGGGCGGTAACCTTGTGGGGAAATACTGTATAAAAGAAGCAGCTGTCCCATTAAACCTTCAGTTCTACTCCCCAGGCAAACTCAAGCCCAGTCTAAAATACACCACATGTTCACCTCCACATGTACCAAACTAACAAACCCTCAACATATCAATGACACCATGGCAGACTTTTATGCCGAATTGTACAATCTAGAAAAGGACGACAAGACACAGCAACCAATGAGCCAGGAAATCCAAGATTTCTTGGACCAAGCACATCTCCCCAAAATTAGCCCAACACAACAAGAGGAGATCCAAAGGCCGATCACCCGGACAGAAATAGAAAAAGCCATCGACTCTTTACCAAAAGGGAAATCACCAGGCCCAGATTGCTTCACGAATTGGTACTACAAATGCTTTAAATCCACTTTATCACCTCACCTAGCAGAATTGTACAACGCAATCATAAAAACGGGCCAAATACCACCCGAAGTGTTAAAAGCCCATATAGCCACACTACCCAAACCGGGAAAACCGCCCAACAAACCACAAAATCTAAGACCCATCTCTCTATTGAACACAGACACGAAACTTCTAGCAAAAATATATGCAAACAGACTCTCCACCATTATTCCATCAGTGATTCATAGAGACCAAGTAGGATTTGTAAAGGGAAGGCAGGGTTCGGATGGGACACGGAAACTGTTAAATCTGATGTCAACAGCGCGAAGCTCGGGAAAACCCAGTGTATTCATCTCACTAGACACTGAAAAAGCATTTGACAGGGTGCACTGGGGGTTCCTGGAGTCAGTGCTACAAAAACAAAACTTCCTGTCACTATTGAAGGCACTATATTCAGTCCCAACGGCCTGTGTAGCCAACAGTGGTTTCACGTCAAGGGAATTCAGAATCACAAATGGATGCCCACTGTCCCCCCTGTTATACATCCTAGTCCTAGAACCCCTAGCGCAACACATACAAGGACATGCAGAAGTTAAAGGTATAAAAATAGGCAATACGGAACACAAACTCACAATGTTTGCAGATGACATCATGCTATGCATTGAATCCCCAAACACGACACTCCCACGCCTACACAACATACTTACCAAATACAGTGCATGCTCATACTATAAACTTAACATCACAAAAACACAAGCGATGAGTATGCACATACAGCCACAAACCTTACAAGACCTAAAAACAAACTATGCATATGAATGGCGCAAAGACCATCTAACATTCCTAGGCATAGCCTTTACGTCGACATCACATGCTTTGATGACATCTAACTATGTCAAACTTGTAAATAAATTAAAGAGTCAAATTGCAGGGTGGAAGGGCAAGTATGTCTCCTGGCTAGGTCGCATAGCGGCTACAAAAATGATACTCTTACCTAAACTCCAGTACTTGTTCCGTACTCTCCACATACACCTCCCTAAGATTTTCCTACGCGAAACACAAGCTATGATTAACACATTCATATGGAATAACAAAAAACCGAGGGTGGCAGCATCAGCATTATACAAACCCTATAAAAAAGGGGGCACAGGGATACCACACCTTAATACATATTACTCAGCTTTGATCCTTAGTCCCCTTATCATGGCATTCCATCACCAGCAACCACCGGAATGGCTTGCTATAGAGGCAGAATACACAAAAGGCAACAATTTAACTGCACTGGTCTGGATACCACGATACAATAGACCCAAATATAAAGAAATGTTGCCAACCACCAAACTGTCCTTGTCTATATGGGATACACATAGGACCAAATCATGGTCTTCACCTCATCCGTCACCAGCTATGAACCTCCAAGCCCTCACAATACTTATACCACAATTCAACGCCAAAGAATGGACCAAGTATGGCATTACTTCCTTACACCAAATAGTAGATAACAACAAACTGATCCCATTTGCACACCTGCAGATTAAACATAAAATACCACAAACCATGAACTTCAGGTACTTACAGATACAGTCATGGTTTCGCACACACTACCCCCCAAACACCCCACTCAGGCAAGACTGGCAACTATCGCCTCTCGAGCAATTATGTATACAAAACAAGCCTCCTACTAAACTAATATCCCAATTGTACAATATAATCATTCAAAGACTTTACACTGCAAAGCCCTCCTTTATCTCAAACTGGGAAATAGACCTCCAAAAGAAATTGGACGAATCCAATTGGGCCCGTATATTTACGGCAAATAGGAACTTAACACTATGCACCACACACATAGAAATGTCTAGAAAGTTACAATATCGCTGGCACCTGGTTCCAACCAAATTGAAACACATCAACCCCCCACAACTCGGGGCAATGCTGGAGGTGCAAAAAGCAGCCGGGCACTGTGTATCACATATGGTGGTCATGCCCGAAAATAATACCATTCTGGACTCAAATCTCGAAGTTAATAACAGAGTCCTCAAGAACGGTGATGCCTCTCCAACCCGAACAATATCTGTTCCAACTATTCCCACAAAACATCACGAAAACCGTAAGATACCTGATTTATCACATACTCATTGCAGCACTACAAACAATCAGCAGAAACTGGTTGGCGCCTCACACACCGACCTTAACGGAATGCACCCAAATTATAGAATCTTCTAAACTATACGAAACCATGGCTAGGAAAACAAGGCCCACGCAAACATTTTGGGTAGAGGCTTGGGAACTGTGGGACGCATATAATAGGCGAATAACCCCAAACATAGCAAATTAAGAAGAGCAAAAGGGAAATCTAACACTAACTGGGAATGGATGTTGAATCATAAGTCTTCTCTACCTCGACCATACCCCCCCTCTCTTTTTTCCCTGCCCAACCCACAGCCCCTCTGTTTGAAGCAAAATAAAAATGTGCGAAGTGCAGCCGAATTCCTATAGGACATAGGCTAATGAGTGTAACTGGTTGACATAAATGTATGACAAATACTTGACCTGTAAAAAACTATGTATGTTCAAGACAGTAACAATATGATGTAATTAACAATGTTCTATACGCTGTATCTCTGCACTATCCTAAAAATTGCTAATAAAACCCCCCCAAAAAACCCTTCAGTTCTACTTAACCCTCAACTCGCAGCCTCGTCTCGGGTTTTGGAGCAGCTATATCACTATAATCACCCTTGAATAATCACTAAGCTCTTGTAAGAGCTTGTTCCTGTTCCTGATTCACTCTCTGGGGAAAGAAAGGTTCACCCACTGGAACCTTGTCGTAGGTCCAGGGTGGGTAGGAGTCGGCGAGACTCCAACCAAGCTATGGTGGTTCGTGGGGTCTGCTGTGCTTATGGTGTCTGGTGCAGTGCTGATGGTCCTTGGTAAGCACTAGGATCATCGATTGACGGAGGGTCCGTTACATTGGTGGCAGTGGCGGGATTGCGTCCTAGTGCGAGGAGAAGCATCCTGGAGACACCGGTAACGTGTTGATCACCCATGGAAGCAGAGGTGTTCATTGACTTGGAGCAGGCAAATATGGCATACCCTGACTCTTGCGAAGATTTTCTGGCTGAGGTGAGGCAGCGAGTGGCCTGGTATGGCCCTGATGTGTCAATGGATACCTAACCGTCGAAACACAAGCGAAGAGGAACCAAGAGTTCCTGCGGGCTAAAGAGAGGAAAAGAAGCCTCCAACGAAAGGAGGTTAGCCTCTCTCGTCAGAGGCAGCCTGAGGTACCCGAAGTGGGGGACCTCATAGACTGGTCCTGTGAGGAACCCCAACAGGCAGGTGGAGACGGGACCGAAGTCTCTCCACCGGCCCCACAGGGATGCTGGGCAGCCGGCCCAGATCCCCAACTTCAGCTGTAGCTACCTGCAGAGGAGGCAGGTGGTCCTTATTCCCCAGTCCTGGGGGACCTCATAGACTGGCACTGAGAGGAACCTCAAATGGCAGGTGGAGATGGGACCGAGGTCTCTCTACCGGCCCTACAGGGATGCTGGGAACCCAGCCCAGATCCCCAGCGGCAGTGCATCTCACCAGTAGAGGAGACAACTGGTCTCTCCCCCCCAGCGGTAGTGCGTCTCACAGGGAGAGGAGAC